GGGCTTGTGCCGCCTGCGGCTGCGCTGTGGCTTCGGCTGCGGCTGGCTGGAACCGAGGTGGGGCCCGCGGCCAATTCTGGCCGATCGTTCTCTCGGTGAAGCGAAACCCCCAGCTCATGAAAGTGTAAATGAGACTGTACAGAGAGAACACCGTTAAAGCCTAAGCTGCCTGGGAAGCGAGGTTTCGTCACTGTTAGGGGATCGCGAATTAAAAAGCCCGTGAGGTAGACTGCAAGGAGAGCAGAGCCGCAGTGATTGGGCGGAGCGGATAGTGACTGCTACGCCGTCGGTGCGGGGACTTGCACCCGACCGCTGGCACTGCGGACGCCCGCCCCGGGAAGTGACCGAGCCCCCCTCCCGCCTGCATTTTCATTTGCTCTTTCATCGCACAATGGCCCCCCTAGGGTGTAGATGGGGGTTCTATTCATTTCCATAGGTTGTTTTCCTAAAGTGAAGCACCAAGAAGGTCGGAATTTCGGGCTCGCGTGGCTCCGGGGTGGTCTATATCCTCCCGGACAGCTTGATCCTTTTGCTGTGTTTCCTGTGCTGATCCTGAGGATCTAAAGTTGTATTGTAAAATCAGAGTTGAGCTATCTTAATCCTAATTTCTTTATTACAAAACTGAAAACAACAGGTAAAGAAGGGGGTTTGTTTTTGTTCTTGCATTTGTAAATAGCTGCGTGTCCAGGGTGATTATACACTGTTAAAAAGTAATTTTTAAGAAAAGTTTATTACTAATACTACCTTCCAGCAAACGAGACAATTCTTATTCAATAAATTTGAGGTTTATGTTTCTGGCCAAAGAACTGGCATATTATAGACATAATATCTGAAAATATAAGAAGTGATACCAAAAGTCAACAGCGGAGATGCCTGCTAACGAGCGGTCCTTAAGCCACCCTAAAATTGCCCTGCAGTCCGCCAGCTTATTTGCCAGTTGCAAAACTGCAATAGATTGGTGAACTCTTCCAAGACACAGTAAACCACAGGCGTGATTTAAATGGCAACAAAAACTGCCAGTGGCTTTTTTTTTTTTTTTTTTTTTTAATCTTTCAGATTAAAATGAATTTTGCACTAGCCCCTGAAGTTGCAGTTTTAGAAGATCACCCCAAGGGGGTACGCAGAGTAACCCTAGATTTCAGATACCGACCGCAGGTCTTTGAGGGAAAGGTGTGCTTTCTCCAGTGGGGGATAGGGAGCCAGGAAACGCCTCAGGCGTCGATGTGGCGTTGGCCTGGGACCTGCTTAGATGCTGAGGACTCTCCTGCTGTCTTTATCTATTAACCTGTCTCCTGTGAGAATTTTGCAAGTGGGTCAAATAGTTTGGGGCATTGAATTTTTCCTTCCTGAAGGAAAAAAATGTAAATATTAGAAGCATTAGACCCAAAACATTTTTTTAAATTTATTATGCTCAGGTTGTAATTCTTATTAACAAACGGTTGTAAATTGAAATCATTAAAGTATTTCTAATTGGTTGTAGATAAGATTTTATCAGATTTTGACAATTCCATATTGCCATTAAACACTTCAGTTTGGCAGTCTAAAGGAGGACTATTCTTTCCTAGGAGAAGCCAAGTTGGAGGCTGGTATTTATGCTCAAGCACAAAATCCCCAGTCCAAATGTTACATGCCATTTTTTTCCTCAATTTAGCAAAATTCAGTGTGCAAAGGGAGGAATTTGTACATCACTTTTACACTATATATCCAGCTAAGTGCTAGTTTTGCACTTTGCAAGAGGTTTTAGTGTACTGTCCCTTTCAATTATGTACATCCTCTAAATTCAGAACCAAGAAAGGGGCAGAATCATCTAAAAAATAATGGAATGTTCATTCTCCTTGGCCAGACTGGTTGAACAGTGAGCATCTAAGTGGGTCTGCTGACTCCTGTGAATTCCCAGAAACATGACAGGAGTCCCTAGAATCTAAACTATTTTTATAATAAAATAAAGATATCAGTATCCCTTCACTTTGTTGACATTGGGAAAATCTACTTAATTCATAGCACCAGTATTTTACAAATGACCAAGAGATAATACTAAAACTTGCTCACAAGTAAAATTCCATGCAGAACATGATGGCACAGGCCTGTAATCCCAGCGCTCAGGAGGCTAAGGCAAGAGGATCGCAGCTGGTTTGAGGCCAGCCTGAACTGCATAGTGAAACCCTGGCGGGCACACACACACAATTGAAATTAATGACTTTATTGAAACTGAGTATTGGGCTGGAGAGATGGCTCAGTGGTCTAAAGCACCTATTTGGAACAAGCTTTGAAAAGCACAGGGACCGTGGTTCGATCCCCCAGCACCACATGCCAGCCAGTCGCGCCCCCTGGTGGGCTGAGCTGGCCACACACACACACACACACACACACACACTAAATAAATGTTAAAAAAAAAAAAAAAAGAAACTGAGTAGTCTCCTAGTAGTTCATTTTATTGCCACAGTTTTAGATTGTACAGCTAACCTTTAAGAAATGTATACTTAAAAATAAATAAATTTATATTTGTCAAATGTGTAACACAGAATATTCACAATTATCTGAAATTGTTGCTACTAAAATACTTTTCCTTTCCCCCAACTACATATGCAGATGAAGCTAGATTTTCTTCAATACTCAATCAAGACACATACCCCAACAAAATCAAAAAGCAAAGCCAGAGTCCAGTTGTCTTCTATTAGAGAATTACAACGCAATGCCACTTCATTATTTTTGTTTTTAAAAATTAATTTTCATTAAAATGTTATTAGTGGGGCTAGGGATATAGCTCAGCCTGGCAAGCACAAGGTCCTGAGTTTCAGTCCCAGTCACATAGGCCAAAACCAGTTACTATTGTGTAATACGTTATTTTTAATTGAATTAGTATTTGAACATTTTTGTTTTAATTTCTAATATGGTGTATATCAATAGCTATATATAATCTATGTAAGACCAAAGTTGAGTATAGCCCAGCGTGGTGGCACATGCCTATCATCCCAGCACTCTGGGCTGAAGCAGGTGGATCATTGTAAGTTCAAGACCAGCCTGGGCTACAAAGTGAGCTCAAAGCCAGCCTGGACTGCTTAGCAAGACCCTGTTTCAGAATGACAAAAAATAAAAATAGTAGCATGAAAAGATCCTAACACCAAGAGTTGTAAGACACCTCGTACTAAAATAAGAAACGTATTACTTAAGACATTGGCAGCACCCATCTGGTGAACATGACATCCTAAGTTTATTTTCCAGTACCAAAAAAGAAAAAAAAAAGAGACTAAGTTAAACACATTTGGAACTCACCCTGAACAGACTTGTAGAAGACTGTGTTATGTTCCTATTAATCAAATGGACTGTGTGGCATGTGCAAAGGAAAGCAGTCTCTACTTGCTGAGCTAGTAGAAGCAGGTTAGGTTTTTTTGCTGAGTATGATCATATGGAAGTCTTCCTTCGTAGTACCTTTAGAATCTTCACTTTAATTTCAGCTCCCTATTGGCCATGAATCTCTAACCTACTTCTACCAGGCACCTAAAATGTCCTTAACTTACATTGAGAAATTGAAAACAAAGTATAAACCTAAGCAAAATATAATTCAGAAGACAAATCTGCCTTTACAAATGCAGTGCTCTCCAATATGGAAGTGAATGCTGTGAGTTTCCGCCCTTTTTTTATTGACTGTAGGAGAGTGTTGGCTTAAGAAATGTTAAGGGGGAAATAATTCTGGGAAGAATGTACCAGCCTGTCATCACAATTAAATAAGGTGCATTTCCTAGCTGGGAATTGAGCAGTTTTAAAATACATTAATGCCAAGTGTGGTGGTGCAGACCGGTAATCCCAGCACATGCAAGTTTGAGGCCACCCTGAACTACATAATAAACACATAGTGTCTCGAAAAAGTTGAAGTCCAAATGATCCTCCTTATTCACATTTACTTCCTGACCCCTTCAACATTAATTTTTAATACTACTGATTGAAAAGGCAATTTCTATCCAAGAAAGTGTCTACACTACTTGTAAGAATCTGTCCTACCTGTGAGTAATGCTTCTGTTGCTGATGTGCCCTGCACATTAATTACAGCGTTCATTTCTGCTTCAGTTATATAAAATCAAAGACTTCAGAGACTGCTTTTAAAAGTGTTTTTGAAATGGGTAACCTAAGTGGTGGTCAGTATCTTCCAAAAGCTCTTAGTGCTAGAAAGTGAATCATCAATTTGCAAAAGCTATCTAGGTCTTTGGTTCCAGTGAAGTGAAGCAAGAACTAAGTTGTCAAAATACGGGATTATGTGTGTCCCATTCAGCTGTCTCTCCAA